AGTTTTAACTGATGGAAATTTAAGCGATCTTAACGCCCTGGAACTAGCCGATGAAATAAGCATTGTTTCGTCATTATTAACAAAAAAGGAAACCCCTGTTGAAGTTCTCAAGTTTATCGCTACACTTAAATTCTCACCAAACCTCAGCATAGCATTAAGAATCCTACTTACATTGCCAGTCACTGTGGCTTCAGGGGAAAGAAGCTTTTCAAAATTAAAAATAATAAAAAAATATCTCAGAACGATGCAGACGCAAAATCGTCTCAGTGGATTGGCAATAGCTATAGAACACCAAATTAGTGACAAATTAGACTTGAAATCACTGGTTCGTGAGTTTGCCGAAAGAAAAGTTAGAAAAAGGGCATTTTAATTACTTTGGTTAGTTAAATAGAATTTATTTATAATATGGAATTCTAGTTTAGTTAGCATTACTACATTTTAATTTTTGTTATTTTGCCTTAAGTGCTAAATTGCTTATCATATTTTTAATAAAACGTTTTTTTTTTTATTTTTTTTTTTCAATGTTTTCTTGACTTTCTGATATGGTCACATGAGATTTACTTAAAAAAAACGGGGAGGGGCGCAAAATTAAGGTTTTGCCCGGAGCGCCAAAATGTCTAGGGCCGACCCTGACGACGGCATGTAATTAATTTAAACTAACGTTAATATTTTACATAAATGTAACAAAATGATTAATTTTTAGTTACATAACAACGTTTAAAAATAATATTAAAATATAGATAAATAACTAATATTCAAATAACGTATATATTTAGTTTAAAAAATAAACTAAACGTTAAAATGTCTCGATATAACAACGGTTTTAATACGTTTTTACGTAATTTAAAATAACGATGATATGATACGTATTATTTACAAAAAAAAATTAACTTTTGGTTTATTTATAGTATCATTCGAGATAAATATTAAACGATAATTATAAACGAGAAAATAACGTATTATTTTATAAAATTATAACATTCAGTCAAAAATAGAAAAATACGTTAGAAAATAGTATTTTATAAACGTTTAATTTTTCAACTAAAATTTCAACGTTGAATTTTCAACCAATAAATAACTGTCCTCGTATACGGCTCAAAAAATATGATATCTGATGGTTGTATTTTAGGTTTTAGACCATGCACAACTTTTTATGCTGACTAATTTGTTTTTGATAAATCTAATAATAAAAAAGCTTTCCATATGTAGCCAATATAGGCATACATAAAAAATGTTTTAAAATAAAAATTAAATAACTAGCTGGGGTAGGTATACTATTACTTATCAATCTAATTGTAATATAAAAAATAAATTGTACTTTTTTCAATAAAAACGACAATTTCAAATGTCATAACAATATAATGTAAAGACTATTTTCGCGGAGAAAGATAAATAAAAAATCTTGTTTTATGAAAGGTACATAATATGTAAAACCTGTGTTATTCGTTTTTACGAACTTGTTATAGGATTTTAAATTCCGACTTAATTATAACATTAGTTATAAAATTTAATTTATTAAAACTAATAAAAAAAGAAGAAAGATAGTTTACTAAGCTCAGTCAGGAGGGATCGGGTTATAACGCAAATAAATTGCAAGGCTATATGGAGTATTCCGTTCCTTTTATTATATTTCTATGACCAGACGTCAAATCGTCCTCGTGCGTATTGTGAGGTTAGAATGACGACACATATATACAAAAAAAATATAAGATCTTTGTGTAACTTTTACCAAGACAATTCTAATTATGATTAAGGTAGTTGCCCCTCAGGTACGTACTCTTGGTTCACAGGTAAGGATTTGCAATATATAGTACTAATTAAATTAACCTATAAAACTAATTTATATACAGAAGAGATACCCGAGATGAGAGCCAAACCCTTCTTTAAAAACGATAATATATATTTACAAACGATTAGTAGGCTACTAATATATGATTAATCTAATGGTTCAAACAAACAAACAATTGATATGCACTATCTTAATTACACAGACAGTGTATTAACTGGATGGTCCGAATGAAGATTACCCTGGTTGTATTGTGGGCCTAATAATATGGTATTCCTTATTTGATTAATTAACTGGTAACTATGGTTTTTCAGATCATCCAGGTATACAATACGTGTACTGGAATCTGGCACTGGCCGCTGTAGTGATGTTATCAAGTGATTTATATCAATCTATTTAATCCCAAATCACAGAGTTGATATATATGTTCCAGACAACTAGGTAGTTATCGAGAAGTTAAAAGTAAAACTAGCAGGTAACGAGGAGTCGATGTGAAGTTGAGTAGAAATTGTAGTTAACGAAAAGTTAACGTAAAACTTGCAGGCCTAAAAGGGTGAAAACTATCTAAGTTCCTGAATATCTTACAATTTCATGTAAGTAGATGAATTAATTAAATATTTAATGTGAAAATAGCATAACAAAAGCGATCGAAGGTTTTAATATTAATCTTACAATTTCAAAGAGACTTACCTAAGATGGTGGGTGGCCAGATAGTAATATCTAATATTATTTGGGTAATCAGCAGAGTTGGGTAGTATCCGGATACTTCTGTATCCGGATACAGTGTCCGGATACTTTATGTGTATCCGAAAGCTGTATCCGGATACTTTTCAAATTTTGTATCCGGTATCCGGTATCCGTATCCGTGACTAAATTTGTAAGTATCCGGATAAATGGATACTTTTTTCGGCATTCGGATACTTTTCAATTATTTACCACAATCGTAACTGATCCAATCCAAATTATCTTTATTAAAATATATATTTCAAATACTTTGAGCTACCCTGTATAATTAGAAATAAAATACGTAATTTTCAATATTACAATATTTAAGACACAATTGCAATAGGTACCTACTTAAATAAAAAATAGTAAAATAATTATTTTATTATGTTTTGTAGTTTTGTTTGGTGCAACCTATAAAAATTAAAACAATGGAAAAAAAAATTGTCATCGCCAAGGATGAATTCGACGATTCATCCAGTATACAGACGATCGGGATTCAGCATTTTGCGGAACGTTTTTACAGGAAAAATCCTGAAAATCCTTATCCGGTGTTAGCGTCACGAACTTATGGAGGTTCCATTAGCCCAGTTATGTTTCAGTTGGCAAAGACAAGAGACGTTTGTTACTGTGTTTTTATATAGTGCAATATAACTAAACTTTCTGTATCAGTTTTAGTGCCTAACTATACGCAAAGGTAAGTAGGTGTAGGTACCTAGAATTTTTTGTTTTGTAAAATGTCGAATTATATTATTAGTTCTTAAAATGTAGTCGAGAAAATACATGTATGACGTTGTTGTTCATAATGTTACTGATGATGTTTTATTTATGTCGTCATCATCATCATCAGTAAAGTGTACAGATCTGACAAGATCATATATACGAGCCTGCTTTGCCTATGCCAGAACGAAACATTCAGCAATCTCTCGCTCCTCCTCCTTTCAACGCTCTCGACTATACCAAGTACCGCTCGTCGGAGGATCCATAAAAAATGGATTGTCGAATGCATCTGATACTGACGAGAATATCAAAGGTTGTATAAACATGGCAAGTCGCGCCAACAACGAGCTTATTTCGTTAGATTTATATGGACATGATACTGGCTGGTTTTTGGCGCGGTTCAGGCGCGACTCGTTTTATTTACACGCACCTTTATGTTTTATTGTTCATTTTGGTTTAATGTTTTATATTCACAGAACAAAAATAATAAACAATATAATGAGTAGTTTTTTTCGTGTTTCTATTATATCGCTTTCCATTTTCGATAATTTATTTTTGCCTAGTATTGTTTATTGTTACTCGTAATCAATCTTATTGCATAATTATAACTATTGGTATAAAAACATTATTTTAACTCACTTTAAAAGTATCCGTAAAAGTATCCGAAAAAAGTATTCGGATACTTATATCCGAGTACTTTTTAGGTGAAAGTATCCTAAAAAGTATCCGGATACATTGTAAGTATCCGTATCCGGTACTCGGATACTTTTTTCCTGTATCCGACCCAACTCTGGTAATCAGTATCCCTAATTTTTAGGTTTATCCCCTATCCAACAAATTGGACAAGAATAAATAACCTCCAAATAATATTTTTGGGTTCTAAATTGACTTGCAGAATCCTTTTCAAAAAAGTAGATACAGAAGCTTCTGCAGCCTAGCAAGTCGTGTTAGAGAGTGACCAAATCAACCACAAAAAAAGGTTGAAAGTCAGAGTCCAAGGTCTCTTTAAAAATGTTGAACAAAAGTATATGTCTCTTTCTATTTCTAAAGAATAACTTGTATATGCCCATTGTCTAGCTTTGTCTAAGTTCTAACTGTACTTTTAGTTCACCCAGAACCAAATCTTGTCAATCTGGTGGATTGAATGACAATGACACAAAGACAAGTGACACAATAATAAACTATCTATTATTAAAATAACTAGAATTATTATTACTTATTTTAGGATAGAAAATCTCAACGACATGAGGAAAAATGAACAGAAGAATATAATTAACAGAATATTAAAATGGAAAATCTAATTAAAGAAGGTCAGTAACTTCAGGACTTAGATTTTGGTTCTCCGAATATTAAAGGTATGTTTTATTTTAAATTTCAGAGAGACACTACTCTATTAAATGTCATCAGGCTTTAGATTTATTCTCTTTACAAGATATTTTATATACATTTTAAATAATATTAATATTAAACGTTTCATTTGCATAGGAGGTGCATTTTTCTCACTAGTTCGAAGAGTAATATTTAGTAGGAATTTTGAAACCGTAACACCTGGTAAGCTTCTCTTGTACGGCACTCTGTATATAATTTTAATTTTAAGCCGAAAGGACCTTCTCAGGTTCAACTAAAGAGGTGACATTCATTATACTACTATAATATTGGTACCAATCCTTGAACGCCCGAGTTGCGAAGGGTATTTAACCTACCTGTTCCAATGCTTACTTCAATAAGGCATTACTGGATACTTATATGTTTCTAGGTATTAGGTACTCACCAAAATTAAGCGTCAAATTGACTTGGTTAGGCCACTGGATGCCCTCGTACATAGTTTCAGATTGCCACCAAGTGGGATTGTCTTGGTGGATAAAGTCAGTGAGGTAGATGGCATCATGTTCACCTGGATGACAAATTTCACATGATTTCCTAATTCCATTTACACCAGTTTGTACACAATACTCATTGTCACCATTTTGGCCGCAAGTGTTAGTGGCTTCCATCAGGACATTAAAAGCTGCATTTTCGAATTCTGGGATGCACCTCTGAAAAAAATTTATAAATTTAGATAATGTATTAAAACACATAGATGAAATACATAATGGTAGTTGGACTTAAATCGAAGTCAATACAAAAATAAATCGAAGTAAACTAGAAAAAGTTAAATTATAGAATGTTTATTTTTTAATTTAACTCCTTTGTGTACGTTACTTATGGCAATCTTATTAAAAACTATTAATGGGTAATTTAATTTTAATTATAAATAATGGTCTCACTCAATAATATTTAAAGGTTTTAATAAATTAATTACATTTAACAAAGTGGACAATTTTTGCACTATGCTCTGTGTTTCACTAGTTTTTTTACTATTAGATTAAATCAGAGGGTTTAATCCTCTCAAGCCTTCTTACTAGTTTGTGTTGTCTAAAAGCTGGATTGCCTCATTTACATGTTCAAGAAGTCTTTGTTCATGACTTCTGACAAACTTGGTGGTAGTTTCTTTCACGTACTACATTCCTCGTTCCCCGATAAAGATCAGAGTTGTGGCAATACGATATTCATTAGTATTTTCTTTTGTTGTAGAATAACTTTGATGTTACTTCTGCTGGCACAATCCAAAATTTTGATGACATATGTCCAGACAGACTTTAGGATTGGCTTGTAGAGAAGCAATTTGTTATATTTATAAAGATACAAATATATACCTTTCAGCTACTATATTTTTTATCTATATTTCTACTTGTTTCTTTATGATATGTACTCTCCAGCGCAACCTAGCATCTAGATTTATACCTATATTATTTTGCTGAATCGTCAAACGGAACCTGAGTATTGTTTATTCTGAGTAGAATGTGAGTAATTTGAATAGACTTGTTTTTATTTATATTTTTCTGTAAACTTCTTCAAGGTGATTTCGTATCGTCTGTAACTGTGGTTATTGTGTCGTATTTAAGGCTAGGTATGACATTGATGTATACATATAGTAGGTAAAATACGGGACTCAGTATAATATCTTGGGGTACTCCTGCTTTATTACCCTTAATTAAGAATATTCTTTCTTAAAAAAGGAAATAGTAATGATGTGTGTGATGTGTGACAGAAAACCCATGAAATTAACTAATTGTCTGAAAAGGTAAAAAGAAAGAGAGAAAGACGAAACTAAACATTCATTTATATATTCCATTCAATTACAACGTTAAAGTAAAGTTGTTTGCGCAATAAGAGTGGGTATGATGGCGATATCGCTCGAAGACGAAATTTTTCGTCTAAATGCGATATAGACAATCCACTCGAGTCGTTCAGTATATTTTTTCTACGACCCACTAACAAAAAAAATCTACAAATTTAAAAAGCTATTTTAGGCTATTCAGACAAAATAACTAATTTTAAAATAATTTATGAATTTTACTATTTTAAAAAATAATAAAATTCGATTATGAACTTTTCGCGTGGAAGGCAGAAGCTCTGTCCTCAGCTCCACCACAAAATAACTCACTTTAATGTATATTTAATATCAATAATATATTATATTAGTCTGTCGTGACTTGGTATATATGGGGTTTTCTAATTCACATAGTAATGTGTCAAGTCGGGTTATGTGTCAAATCCAGTAGTGTGTCAAATCCATGTATTAGTTTGTTAATCCAGTAAGTATAAATAATTTTAATTTTTTTTTATTATATTTTGTTTATTATTTTACTATTATTATTTAATGATTGTATTGGTATTATTTAGTTTCTTCTAAAATATCTAATGTAAATAATCTTGGCCTTTCTGAAATAAATAATTTTAGTTTTGTTTTTAAGCATGGATGTATTGTTTATTTTTTTTAATGGTTCAGGAATAGAAATATAGAATTTTACAGCAATATAAGAGTAAGCTCGTTGTGAAATTGACTTGTTTAGTATTACTGGATACGTAAGTTTTTTATTATTACGCGTATTATAGCTGTGTTCATGACTAGAGGCTTTCTTGGTACTAAAATGATATTTGATGTTTGTGTGAAAATAAAATAGTTATCTTTGGTCTAGTACTTTAGTTTCAGAATATAAACTGTCTAAAGAATATCTAAAATGTTATCTAGTAACTAACTTTAAAAATATTGTTTGCAGTGTTTTTAAAGAATTTACATGCACCCTTAAAGCCCCTCTTCAAACCAGAATTCCATACCTTATGTGGTTTTCGACCAGGGCGAAATATAATTTTTTTAATTGGGTTGTTTCTGGTAAGCATTTTTTTAGTTGTCTAAATTTATGCAAAATCATTTGCAGTTTTTTTATCACAAAATTTACGTGACTGTCCCATTTTAAATTTGAATCTATATATACCCCCTAAGTATTTCATCTCAGTTACAGATTGGATTTTTATCACGTCTTCCTGTGACTGAATTTCCAGAATTTCAAAAGGCGAAGAGCCGGTAATGTTGCAACTAAACGGTAAGAAATTTGTTTTGTCTAGGTTTACTGTCTATAACTTTTGATCAAACCAGTTCTTTATGAGACGAAAATCAAACTAAACTTTGGTTTTCAGCTCAATCCAGATTTCCGTATCATCGGCATATCCAATAATGTCTCCAACACTTTTGAAATTAAATAAATCATTAACATATAAATTAAACAAGGCAGGGTACATAACAGTGCCTTAAGGCATACCACATTTTATATATTGACCATCACTGAGATCGTTGCCCACTTTAACTAATTGTTTTCTTTTTTTAAGGTAATTTTCAAAAATGTTTAAACAATTTCCTCTTATTCCGTTTCTTTCTAAAGTTCTTAATAGTAGACAATGATCAACTGTGTCAATCGCTTTGCTAAGGTCAATAAAAAGACACAGACACGGTTTACCTTTTTCTAGTGATTCATGAATTTTTCTGTTAGTGTAAGTATGGCATCTGCGGTTGAAGTTTTTTCTTTAAATTCGTATTGATTTTTAGAGATTAGGTCGTATCTATTATTAAAAATATTGAATCTGTTTTTTAATATCTTTTCAAATATTTTTGATAAGTGAATAATCAAAGAAATTGGTCTATTGTTACTGGCTGATGTTCGATCGCCTTTTTACTTTCCTATCTGTATACAGATATAAGGAAAGTATAGGAATCATGATTTTTTTCGACCCCGAGTTTTCGACGGATTTTTACGTTTTGTGGTCCCCTGAATCCGTTTTGACTATTTTCGCGATGATGTGTGTGTGTGTGTGTGTGTGTGTGTGTGTGTGTGTGTGTGTGTGTGTGTGTGTGTGTGTGTGTGTGTGGTGCGTGCGTGCGTGCGTGCGTGCGTGCGTGCGTGCGTGCGTGCGTGCGTGCGTGCGTGCGTGCGTGCGTGCGTGCGTGCGTGCGTGCGTGCGTGCGTGCGTGCGTGTGTGTGTGTGTGTGTGTGTGTGTGTGTGTGTGTGTGTGTGTGTGTGTGTGTGTGTGTGTGTGTGTGTGTGTGTGTGTGTGTGTGTGTGTGTCTGTGTGTGTGTGTCTGTGTGTGTGTGTCTGTGTGTGTGTGTGTGTGTGTGTCTGTATCCACCATAACTCATGTACCGATACAGAGAATAACACCAAATTTTGGGCAGAGTCGGAACATCTGGGGGGGTACTTTATAGGTAGCCATTTTTTTATTTTATGGAATATATCTGTTATTTACGTTTGGAGAAGAAAATTCTTTAAATAAAAGTTACTTCTAATATTATTATCTATACATTTTGTTTTATACAAAATTTTCCTAAAATGGTGTCCGTATTCGAGAAATTTGACAAAATGTAAAAAAAAATATTTTTTTATAAAAATTGTTCAAATAAAAGTTGTTTGTAATATAATTCTCTATAATTTTAATCCTATACATAATTTCTCTAAAATGGACCGCATTCCAGATATTTGAGAAAATGTGTAAATTTCGAATTTTGAAGAAAACTCAAAAACGGTTAAAGAAAAACACAATAAATTTTAAACTTAAGTTTTATTTCGGCCTGACGTGAAATGATTAGATTTTGGACAAAGTCGGAACATCTGGGGGGGGGGGTACTTTAAAGGAGGCCGTTTTTATATTTTATGGAATATATCTGTTATATATGTTTGGAGAAGAAAATTGTACTTCTGATGTTATTATCTATAATTTTTGCTTTATGTCAAAATTTCCTGAAATGGTCCGTATTCGAGAAATTTGACAGAATGTGCAAAATTCTGATTTTTATGAAAATTGTTGAACTAAAAGTTGTTTGCGATATCGATCTCTATAATTTTTGTTTATACATGATTTTTCTAAAATGGACCGTAATGGAAAAATTGTAGGAAAAGGGCTAAATTTTAATTTTTCAGTATTTTCGTTTTCAACGAATATAGAAAAATGTTTCGAGGTAGATGTATGTGGAAAATGTATATATTTAGTTAATCCTCTAAAAATGTATAGAGGTACTGCAATAGGTTGTACAAAATAACCGGAAAAAGCCTATAATAACTAGATAGGAAAGTCATGTGTTGGACACATCAGATTTTTTATATATGGGGCACACAATTGTTTCATTGAATACTTTCGGCCAGACACCAGCAGGGTTATTCTACTAAATTTATAGCCCGGCTACAAGTTGGATTTTGGCTTGAACTTTATATGTTCCTAACTTCAAAATCCAACTTGTAGCCGGGCTATAAACTTGTAGCCGGGCTATAAATTTAGTAGAATAACCCTGCAGAATCTAAACATTTATTTACAATATATTTTAGTGGTTTTACTATATTATTTGCAACTGATTTTAGAAGTTCTGCTTTGATTTCGTCAGTTCCGACGGATTTGTTATTCTTGAGTTCGGTAAACCCGTTATACTAGGAATACATTTTGAATTTTTTTTTTAATTTCTTTTACAAGGTTATAACCCATATTTATAAATTTTGTGTTGAATTCATTAGCCATATCAAGTTTTTATGAGGAGTTTTCCGTTATCGTTCTTTATAGGGCCAATAGTTTTTGTTTTAGTGTTTGTGCCTGTAATTTCTCGTACAATGTTCCATAACCGTTTCGTATTTTGATTGTCTAATTGTATTCGTTATTTGTAATAATTTTGT